TGGCATAAGTGTGCGGAATAAAATTGCAAATATTGGCATAAGTGCAAATTGGTATTTCGCTCTTATGCGACTTTGCACTTATGCCAATATTTGTAAATTCTCGTGGCGTACTTATGCCAGTTCGAATTTATGCCGATTCGCACGTATGCCAGTTTTTGTAACTGCCTCGCATTTATGTCAGTTCGCTCTTAAGAATGGCGTAAGTGCAAAATGCAATAAGTGCGAATTGACATAATTATGTCAATTCGCACTTATTGCATTTTGCACTTACGCCATTCGTAAGTATGTCAGTTTGCGCTTATTCACTCGTCCCTTGCCAAAGTATAAACGTTATATTTTTTTATTTTTTTAAGCATAATTTAATAAGCTAAAAAATATAAAACATAACAGTAAAGTATTTAAAAATGAGCAGCCGTGACACAGTCGTTTGAGTTCTTGCTCAGAACCAAGTGGTTTGTGGTTCAACGCTGGTTCTAACCCATTAAGCGACATTGATTGAAAGGAGGCGTGAACTTCCTGATTTAATGCTCCTCCGTGGTGCTATATGATAAGACCGATAGGTCTTCTTGGAACACCTCAAAAACTTAAAAAAATATATTTTATTCAAGCTATGTTCATTGAACTATTTAAAATTAAAAAAAAAGAAAAACAACAGAATATGTTAAAACTTATTAGATATATTTTAAGTTGAATATATATCAATTACTTAGTATTTATAGGAGATAAACTAAAGGCAATCTAATGTTGTTTCTTTACGCGTTGCTATGAATAATAATAAATATTAGAGGACAAATTAATTGTTTTAATCAGGTTTTAAGCGTAAACAATCATTAAAATAATTTTTAAGTGGAAGATAGGTAGTTTATCTAATGAAAACAAATTTAAAAAATAATATTTCTTTGTTTTTTTGAATTTTAATCCACCTTATAAAAAGCAAAATAGTTATACAAGATGCTTGATAAAAAAATGCAAAATTCGAAAGTGTGAAAAAATTTGATTAATCAAAATATTTTGAAAAAGTTATTTCAAGGATATTTACGAATAGTTACTAATCTTGATCTAGATCTAAAGACTGATTTTATATATATATAATTAATAAGAATGATAATTATTGTAAAATGATAAATGATACTTAGTGGTTGTAAAAAATGTATATTTTTTTTTTTTTTTTTTTTTTTTTTTTTATTTTTATTTTTTTTTTTACATTTAATATTTATCTGTTTTTTATTTATTTTTTTATTTCTTTTCCTAAATTTTTTCCTTTTTTCATTTAAAGTAGTTAAAACGTTAAAACTGTATTTGAATTTTTTACAAAAAACTTATTTACCCATAAATTTCATAAAAGTAAATTTCATAAGAGAATTTTTTTTTACCAAAAATTTCATTAAAGTAAATTTCATAAAAGAATTTTTTTTACAAAAATTTCATAACACTTTTCTCAAATTTATAATTGAAATCACTTCATCATCTACTACTAGATAAAAATGAACGAGATAATGATTCAAAAACAATAATAATAAAGAAACGCAATTAAATAGAAAAGAATATAAATACCTTTTTTTTAAAAAATTTTTATTTTATAATAATTTTAAAACAAAACTATTATATATTTGTTCATTGACTTTTATTTTCAATTCATTTGTAAATTTTTTTGTTTAACTTCAATGTTATTTTGATTAAAATAAAAATGTTTTTTATATTTCTAAAAACATTTGTAATTATATTTCATTTATTTTAAGGGTAAATTGCATTCGTTATTTAACTAATTTTTTTAAAGATGTTGTTGTTGATGTTGTTGTTGTTGCTATCTTTGCTTCCTCTTTACTTGTGAGTGTTATTTCCTATTAAAAGTTTTTTTTTACTTTTCTTTTTTCAAATTCAACGTTGATAATTATATAATTATATATTTAGATACCTAATCTATACAAACGCAAGCAGGCCAATCGTGGAAGTTGGGTCTAAGAAAAGTTTGATGTTGCAATAAAACACGCAAAAAAAACAAAAAAAAAAAAACATTTTGTCAAAAGTTTAGCAATTTTGTATTATAAAACACTAGAATTTAGAATTGAAAAAAAGATAGTTCTTTGTCATGCACTCGCATGTGTCCATCATCTTATTTTTGGTCTACATAAAGAAGAGAGAATCATCAATCAATTAAAAATGCAGTGCAAAAAATGGGTTTCCAAAGACTAGTACAGATTTGCGTTGCGTAGCATTTAATTTTGAAGAAGATTTAGATTTAAAACTAATTTTAACTCTGAAATGGAATGTTATGATTGGTTAATTTTAACAAGGTCTCTGAAATGGAAAGTTATGGTTAGAGAGATTTTTAAGCCAGAATAAAAAAGATTTCATACGAAAAGATGTTGATTAGCAAATGTCAGTTTCTAGATATTAAGGTATGAATAGAGAAGTAAGATATTACTCTAATTTATTAAAATCTATAAAGCAAGAAAAGTAGATAATAAACAAACCAGAGTTACTTTTTAATAGGATGAAACTGATTTGCAACAAATTTCACTGATTAAGTAATTGCAGAAAAAGGATCTAAATGCCAAATTTCATGTCAAATGTCTTCCATTTTAGTAGATGTCAAGATGAAAGCATAATAATTTTTATGTTGGAAAATTTAGCAATATTACTATTAATATTTTTATTCAACGGTTTAAAACCATTTTTCTATTTTAACTTATTTTAAATTCTTTAAACGTTACATGGTAGCGACCTATTCCATACTTTTTTAATTTTTGCATAGGATTCTTATCTTCACAATGATATATGATGATATGCTTACCAAGTCATATAACTCGTTTTCTGCAAACAATAGAAAGAGCTTTTAAATCTTTTAGAAATTATTTTCATACGATTTTTTAGATTATTTCTTAAAAACAACTCCTAAAAAAAAATAAACAGGTTTATACTTGGAAAACTACTAACATATGCTTGAAACATTTTATTCATTTACAAATTGGCCTCTGAAATTTTTAAATCAACAATTTTTTACTTCCTTGTTCTTTTATAAATAACTGAAAATGCCATTGATCTTTCACAAGTACCTGATATTCATTTAAGCTCAAATGTGGAGGCACAACCCACTTATCTGCCAGAGCATTTTTAAGCAAGTGTGCAAAAATCATTTGATGAATCAGCAACAATTTTGACTTAAGTTCTTCCAAATTAAAAGAGATACCAACTGCAGTTCTGCGAAGGTATTACCGATTTAATTTTAAAAATCAAAACAGTCAAGCAAAACGTTCATAACACAGATTTAACTTTATTGCAAAATTAAAAAATACAAAATCTAAGAAGTTACTTGGGAAGAACAAAAAAAAGATCACTGTACTCAACCGTACATAGGATAATAACAACAAGCAACACGCTTGAAAATGTTTGTGTTCATTGTTTGGAACATTATTATACATCAAAAGTAGAAGAAAAACAGATCCAGTACTTTATTATGATGGTATTACATGTTGTGAGCTAGAGTACCTTTAAAAAGTAATTTCTTTCGCATGCAAGTTATGTTGTTAATGTTAATACATTATCGTGATTTTTAAGTTTCTTATTTCAATTTTTATATTTAGTGGTTTTTTATTAAATTTTATTTTTTTATTTTTAGCTGTTTTGATAAAAAAAAGTTCAAAATAAACATATAGTTTGTTATAAATCTATATTAGCCATTTATATATTCTTTATATTACCTATTTACATATTTATTTTCAAAAATTACAAATTTGTAATTTAATCTCAAAGCAAAAGCAGTCTTTAGACTTCTAAAAGTTTTATTATTGCTGTTGAAATTTTCCATCCAAAACCCACTAGATTTATTAATGCTGTTGAAATACTTTTCCATTCAAACCCACTTGTTTGATATCCAAATATTAAAATTATACAGTTATCTTAAATTTCTAAACATTTATTGTATAAAAGTTAATTAATTGCGTAAACATGTTAATTATTAGGAGTGGTAATCTCTCCGCACAACTTAACAACCTGTCCTAGTATTTGGTAATTTCTCTTAACAACCTACTTTACAACTAGCAATCTCTTCTCCAAAAACAAAGTTCAAATAAACCTTAATTAAAAGCAGACTCCTTTTTTTTGGCTTTTAAAATTCTTTATTTACTGATACCCTAAATAACTGTGAAAGTCTGTCTTTAATAAGTTATTAGTATGTTAAATTTTAGCGGGGGAAAAATGATTTTTCCTAAGGTATGGCAATCTCTCCTGAAATTACACTTTATATTTAAATACCCTAAATTGATAAATAAATAGATAGATAATTAGTTACAGATAAATAAAAATGAATATAAACATACATATAAACATCTAATTTTATAGAGCATATATATATATATATATATATATATATATATATATATATATATATATATATATATATATATATATATATATATAATGTTTTTTGATAAATGTCACTGACATTTATCGTAACGATATAATAATGTAAACTGTATAGTAAATTTTTATTGTCTAGAGTGCAATTAGCTTTAACCACTTCTAGCTAGCAGCAAACAAAGAGTCTGTATACAAAACATTTCTAATTGGTCAATGAACCTAACTCTATGATAATCTTGTTACAAATGTGCCGTGAAAGCCGCCGTCGTTTATAGAAACTAATTTTTTGTTACTTTAAAAAGTTTAAATGATGTTTGGGATTATATACTTAAACAACTGAGTAATTACTGGGGTTGATAAATGTTCATCTTGTTATTTTATACTCACAATATTTAAGAAAATATGGTATTTTCGTCGTATATTATGGGAACTTTTAATATGTATGTTAAGTCATAAGTTAAAAAGATTGAAACTTTACTATCTGGATGCACAATTTATGTAGATTATATTGGGTTATACATTGCTATTGTTGGTTTATCTATTAAGATATATGAGTTGTATGTATTAAATATTATGACATGTATTTAACATATAACGTTTTTAAAAATATTAAAAAGTTTTATTATTAGCTTTTATTTTAGAGATGACGAAGGGAAGCATCATTCAGCAGAATCTGTACTTGCCGTTTCAAACAGATTAAATGATATTTTGAGACGTGATGTACCAGAATTGATGAAAAATAAGGAAGTTGACATTGCTTTAAGCAATGCTTTAAGCGAGTCTGGTTGGAATCCTAATACAAAACTCGAGCATGCTACTGAATATTTAAAAATAGACTTTGAAAGTGGAAATCCTGCTTCAGAACTTTCTGCAAAATCTTTTTCTTTGACAGGCGACGGTGATGATGTAGTAATAACAGATTACAGAGGATACGAATATATTGCTGAAGTTATTTCTAAACCTTTCAAAGATAAAATATTTTTCAACAAAGAAGTGCGAAAAGTAATACTTGAAAACGGTATTTACAAGGTCATTTTATCAACTGGGGAAATTTATTCTGCAAAATACATTTTGTTTTCAGTCAGTGGCAAAGTGTTGGAAAGCAATTATATATCAATTCAACCTTCTTTGCCAGATTGGAAAATAAAAGCTCTTAAAAGTATTACAACAGGGGATTACTGTAAAATATATTTAAAATTTCCTTTTAAGTTCTGGGAGGACTCTAACTACATAATGATCGGTCGAAATGATAAAGTTTATACGCATTGGCAAAACTTCGAGCGCATATTTCCCACTAAACCAATTTTGTTAGTAACTTTAACCGGTAAAGAATGTAAAAATAACCAATTAGAGACTGATTATAAAATCATAAAAGACATACACGCCTTACACAAAAGTGTTTATGGACCGAATGTACCAATGGCCACAGGTATATATATATATATATATATATATATATATATATATATATATATATATATATATATATATATATATACATATATATATATATATATATATATATATATATATATATATATATATATATATATACATATATATATATATATATATATATATATATATATATATATATATATATATTTTATATATATATATATATATATATATATATATATATATATATATATATATATATATATATATATATATATATATATGTATATATATATATATATATATATATATATATATATATATATATATATATATATATATATATATATATATATATATATATATATATATATATATATATATATATATATATATATAAGAAAATATAAAATGTTTCAACGAGTGTTTTTATAAATTTAATAAAAAGTTTGTGCCTACTTTTAGAAATTCTTCGTAGCAATTGGACTTACGATGTTAATTTTCAAGGTGCCTATTCTAATCCAACTTTTGGAACAACACAAGAGCATTATGATTTGTTAAAACAACCTGTTGGCAATTTATGGTTTACTGGAGAATATTTGGCAGGGTTTGAGCAATCTGCATATGTAGTAGGAGCATTGGAGGCAGGAATGAAAACAGGAAACGAAATTTCAGAACAAATATTAAGAGAACAAATCTGAATGTTGTTTAAGGATTATTAAGCTAATGCTTTTTTTTTATTTCAGAAATTTTATTTTAAAATTTATACTGTTACAAATTGTTAACTTAAATTGATTGTAAAAACTGTATTATAAAGTAAACATAATAATAATAGATTAAAAAAATAAATAAATAAAATTATTATAGAATTTTTTAATTCTAAGTTAAGACTTATGAGTATGGGTGTATGGGTTCCGTCACTTGTTTTTGATGTTTGAGATATGATAATGAGATATATTAAGTATGCTCGTGCTTTTGTTTGTGCAAAGTTGCTTTTATTACAACTTGCAACAAAAAAAATATTCAAAAATGATTGTCTTCTTACACTAAATGAAAGTCCAATGAGCTTATAAATTTTTTTTTACTATTTTATACTAAATTTATACTCATAAAATATTATATTTCATCTAACAACATCATTTAATGTTGTACTGATAATAACTCCCGTCATTTTTGGAGGGTAAAAATTTTACATGGCATAGTGGGACATTTGACTAAAAAAAATAGAGATAAAAACAATAGAAAAAAATATCAAACTTCTTCTTATTGATGTTGCAATATATCTGTTGATGTTACAATCTGTTTTTTAACCAGTTGCATCATAATTAAAATATTGTTTTAATTACGATGTACCTGCTTTGATGATGCATTCTGCTTTCATATTGCAAAGATTTTGTTGTGTTAATGGACTTTTCTTGAGAACGATCTTTATAATATTTAATGCTTTGATCTAAATTCTTTATATATTAAAAAAAGGGTGTATAATATTTTTAATGAGGGTGTATACACCCTCATTAAAAATATTATACACCCTCATTTAAAAATTTTGTAAACAATTGATAAAAGGTCAAAATACAGTTGTTTTTCTCCCAATGACAATATAAGACAACATGAGGTTTCTAACCATGGGCTTCTGTACAGATTGGACAAAACAGATCTATTTGCGTTTATTCTTCGTTTTCTCAGTTATGGTATAGAGATTGAAACGCAAATATAAATATTTCAAATTTTCAATGGATTTAAAATTAGGATTTTGATAAAAATTTGGAGCAATGGGGACATACACTAGTGACCATAGGAATGGACACCCCTTTAAAATATATGAAAACTTCAATTTGGTGTGTTTTTTAAAAGAAAATAACCATATTTATGCGGTTTTCTTTATTGATTATTATTTTTTAATCTGTTTAGATTAAAAAAAACTAAAATTTTAATTAAAATTCGCAATTTTTATATAAATATATAACAATTTAATGACAAAGTATCAAATTATGATAAATTTACGTTTTACAACTTACAAAACATGTTATTAAAAAAATGGCTTATAAAAAAAAAACTTAATATATTTGTTGAATATCCATTATTTTTTATTACTGCAGCAATCCTACGAGGTATAAAGTCCACTAAATTGCCCAAATCTTCAGTGTTAATCACGTGAAACCAGAACTTGATCTATTATTTGTCGCTTATCCAAGGTTTTTTTTTCCCTACAAGTTTTTTTCAGTCAAGACCACAGATTCGGATCGGATTAAGATCCGGACTGTTTCTAGGCCACTTCAAAATGTTTATCTTTTTGGCTTTAAATCAATTTTTGGCAGCTTTTGCGGTGTGGCATGTAACACTGTCCTGCTGGAACACACAGGTTTCTGTTTTGCCCTCAAACAAATCATCAATCGATGGAGGTAATTTGGCTTCTAATATGTTTTTTGGTATATTTTGGCGTTTAAAATACCAATGGCAATGTGGATGACCCAGAGATGCTGTGGGTCGTCCACAGCATCTCTGGTCATGCATCCTTCACCATTACACTTATGGGATGTTTTATTGTAATTAATGTGCACTCAGGTAAAAGATCTTCACCGGGCCTTCTTCTCATATAATTGATTCCATCACTTCTGAAAATGGAAATCTTGCTTTCATCACTCCAAATAACTTTTTCTCAGTCTTCATTTGTCCGCTCCTTGTATTCTTTTGCCCAAATCAAACGATCCTTTTGTTGTTTTTTATTTAAATATGGTTTTTTTCTCGGTCTTGCTTTTTAACCATTTTCAAAATCCTTAGGCGAATTGTTCTTCAACTAACCAAAACTCCTGTTGCCTCTAAATCATTTTTAATTATTCTTAAGTGCAAGCCTCATTCTCATTCTGTCATCGTTGGCAGTTATCTTTTTCTTTTTATCCATTTTATTATGCATATTTTTGAAGGTATTGATTGCCTCAAAACTTTTCGCACACCTTCCTCACACAGATTTTGTTGCTCCGTTGCGCAACTTTTTGGCAATTTCTATGTACGAATAACCTTCTCCACGTAATGTAACAGCTTTTTATCGCTTTGTAGTTGACCAATATCCTTTCGCCATTGTAATTAAAAGTATAAAAAACAAATAGAATCTTCAAGAGCACTGTTGACTTTTCACTAGCAATTGCTGAATGACTACAAAACAACGGTCTTGTATTTATAGCTAAATGACTACAAAACAATGGTCTTGTATTTATAGCTAAAAAGATTTATGGATAAAAGTGTAAATTAATAACAAAATTATCTATTAGTCATCACAATAAATAGACTAATTTTTAAAAATGTTAAAGGGATCCCTAAGCGCTATAAAGATATGATCTCATATGAAAGAGCATAAAAAAAAAAAGTTTGATGTATATTATTTTTTCTAAAACGTAATAATGAACACACACTAACAAATTTAATTTTCAAAAAAACGCTTTTCTTCGATTTAAAAAAATGCGTCTTGTCCAAAGTTTATTGACTCTACTGCCTCAAAAAACTAACGTTAGTACGTCAAATTAAACAAAGTAGACAAAATGTCATTATTGCAAACTTATTAGTTGGTAATTAAATTTAAAAGTAAAGTCGTTTTTTTTTCAACTAACACATAATTACGTTCAAGAATAAGTTTTGTAGCATTTTGTGAAAATATATTTGTATATTAAAATTTTTTTTATAATATTAATTTATATATTTGTGTTATAAGGGCAATTCCACTGCTAAAAATGAATAGAAGTCAAGTTTTAAGCTCTTTTTAGTCAGTTAAAAACAAATGAATATTGACTTAGACACATGAAAGTTTATTTAAAATATTGCCTTAGTAAAAAAATAAATTTATTTCAGTAATTTTTATGGTTTCAAAAGTGGTTACTCTCATTTTTGCTTGATAAAAAAAATGATTGTAAAATGTTTTAGTTAAATTAACATTTATGTTAAATTGCTATATTTTTTTGGTTCAAATTGATAAGCTTGAATAGACATTTTATTAGAAATTAAACTAAGACAGGGCTCGAATTAACGCAAAAAAATCTAATCGCGAAAAAAATTTTTTTTTTTTTTTTTGCTCAAAACACCCCCCCCCCCTTCCCCCTCTCTCTTATAGTTCGCGCCGATGTGCGGTAATGGGGGGAAAAAATTATCGTCAATAAATCAAAAAACATCGTCAAAAACTTAATAAAAAATTAGATATCACGTTTTTATAATTTATTGTTTCTTGAATAAAGGACTAATAAAAGTTTAAATATAATTAAGTTTTTTATTTAAATAGTTGATGTTTTTATTTAATTTTTCTATTTCAAGTTTTCCAATCAAAGATAAAACAAAAAAATTTGGTTTAATAAATCGAATTATACTTCATGTTTAAAATAAGGCTTAAAAACGTTAAAGTAAAAAAATTGCTGGTTTTTATTAGCATTTTTATACTGTTTGAAAAAAAAAAAAACTAATAAAAAAGAATTAACTAATAATATATTAATAAAATTATATATTATTTCTTTTTTATTAGTTTTTTTTTTTCAAACAGTATGAAAATGCAAAATAAAAGTCAGTAATTTTTTTGCTCTAACGTTTTTTAAGCCTTATTTTAAACATGAAGTTTTGATAAACAAAGATAAAAACGTTGGTTTTTATCTTGTAACAATTTTCCACGCAGAGATTTAAAGTAATTTAAATTCAAAAATGTTTTACGTTAAAAGAAAATCTCCGCGCGAAAGAGCAAATCATCTATTCTTCTATCTAATCAGAATAATAAATTCTGTGTGACGTTCTTTTTGATAAAAACATTACTTTAAGAATTGCTAAAAAAAATGCTAAGCTAAAAAAAAAGTAATAAATCAACCAAAAAAAAAAACGAGTCGCGAAAAGATTTTTTTAAGAAAAAACTAATCACAAAAGTGTGTGTAGCAATCGCGATCACGATACGCTTAATACGAGCCCTGTAAGACTTTTTTATAAGTTCTAAACTATTTAAAACTATTACTTATAACTTTTTTTTTAACGACGTCTTTCAACCGAATGCTATTATACTGTTTTTGCAAAACTAATTAAAAAAACTTGATTAAAACTTAACTATTTAATCATGACTTTTTTTTACTTGAAAATCGAAGTAGATATGCTAAAGTTGTTGTGACGTACTAACGTGATTTTTAACGACTAACAATCGAGTTTCAATGGTGAAAAAATAAAATCAAAATGGAGTTGTTTTTTAGTGATTTCGGCAATTGCTTTTTGTTAGCATGCATTTATTATTACAATTTAGTGAAAAAGAAAAAAAACTTACATATTTTTTTTTAATGCTCTTTCATATGAGATTATATGTTAGGAGCACTTAGGGATCCCTTTAAAAATGAAAAGTAAAACAATCCACAGCACAATTCACAGTTCTCTACTAACAATTCACAGCACTCTACTAATCATCGTATTTCGCCAAGTACTGATGAAATTATAATAACTAAAAAGAAAAAAGAAAAAAAAATTCTTGCCTATTAAAAAAACTATCTAAAACCCACAAATAACGCTATCATGTACGATAATGAACCTAACTATAAAAAATTCGAAGAAACGTTTTCCTCTTTAAAAAAAAAGAAAGAACCAGGGTTTGATGAAATACCTAGTGATATAATTATCTTTAACAAAATCAGCCTAAGCAAACTTCTGATCCATATACTAAAGCTCTCAATAACCTCTGATATTTTCCCTGATAGACTTAAATTAGTAAAAGTAATTCCTATATGTAATGAACATTTGGACATAACCAACTATAAACCTAATCAATACTTTCTGTATTTTCAAAACTTTTCAAACGTGTAATTTATAATAGAACCTATATTCACTTCACTAAAAACAAATTATTATTCCCAAAC